AAAAAAAAAAAAAAAAGTTAGCTGAGCATGGTGGCACATGCCTGTAGTCCCAGCTACTCGGAGAGACTGAAGCAGGAGGACCCTTTAAGCCCAGGAGTTTGGGTCTGCACTGAGCTACGAGCACATCCCTACACTCTACCCTGGATGAAGGAGGGTGACTCCATCTTAAAAAAGAAATCCAACTTCTTGATACAAATTAAACAATTCAAAGTTATCTGGTAAATGTAGCTCTCCTTATGTGTATTTTGATTAAATACTATGCTGTATTTGCTTTACATCATTAAGCTACTCTTGAAAGTTTTTTTTTTTTAACTACAACATACAAACATTAATAAACAACTAGAATAAAAAGTCCCAAGATGCAGTTATGCCCATCTAAATTGCTTAATCTCTTACCAAAAAGAGATAAAAATCAGAGTTACAGTTCTGAGTTTCTAATTAAAAGGATCCTTTGAACTTATGTGAAGTCAACCTTCTACTGAGTTCTATGTGAGAAACAGATAAAAGCTGAGAAAGGAACTCAGTAACTTTATGATTTCTCCATTTTAATTTCTCCAGCTGGAAAAATTAACTAAACAAAGAAATAGATCTCGTATTTCATATATGCAATGCTACAAAATGCTATAATGCTTCCTCTCCAACCCATTCTAACCAAATCCGATGTACTTACTCGTGATGCGTTGTGCAAATTTTGGTAAGCCGGTCAAAATCTTCACCATTGAATCCTTTTTCCGAATTCCTTAGGGATGTAACTGTATGTGGTTGTACAGTTTTCCATTTTGTTTCTAAATTTAAAATATTTGTTAGTCACTGGCTTTTACAAAACACATTTAGTACGGAAAAACAGTTAACTGATAAATATTAGTATGCAAAATTGTCTTCTCAAACAACCCAAAAGTTTAAGCACAGTTAGAAAGAGGGAAGTGATTGCTTTTCAAAAGAAGTAAATCTCATCCTAGAGACTAAGTTAGCCAGGAGGGTATGAGATGTGACCCGAAGAAATACAAATACAGTAGTTGCAAGTGTTCTTCTTTTGGCATGGATACAAAGAGCAAAATAAAAACATTTTCTCACATGCTACTTTGTAACATTAACTTGACTATGGAAACATCTATTTTCTGATTTACAAAACCAGGTCAAATATGTTAAGCTTTTTCCATAGCAACTTGTTAAATCACTGATGATTCCACATTCTATCACAGTCTGCACTGCCCTACCCACTGAGCTACGGGCACCACCCTCCACATTCTTAGTCTGTACTTACCCCACTGCTCCTGAATGGCAGAAAGATTTGCGAGCAATTGCTCATGATACAATCTTTCAAGCTGAATGAATTTCATTGCTTTCTCATCTGAATAGAAAATTTGAGGAAAATAGAAATCCAGTCTATTGAAATAATCCCTGTATTTGAAGAAGTTGAGAAACTTGCCATTTACTAAAAAATGAGAAGACTCTAAACATTTTTTAAAAATTTATTTTATTTTTTTAGAGATGGGGTCTCACTATGTTGCCCAGGCTGGAGTGCATTGGCTATTCACAGGTGCAATCCCACTACTGATCAGCACGGAGCTCTGATCTGCTCTGTTTCCGACCTGGGCCGGTTCACTCCTCCTTAGGCAATCTGGTCACCAAATTGATGCTGAACTTAGTGTGGACACTTGATTGACATAGCACACTACAGCCCAGAACTTCTGGACACAAGTGATCCTCCTGTCTTAGCCTCCCAAGTAGCTGGGACTACAGGTGCATGCCACCACACACTTGGTTTTGAAGTAGGTACATTTTATTTTATTTTAGAGACAGAGTCTCACTTTATCACCCTCATTAGAGTGCCATTGCATCACAGCTTACAGCAACCTCAAACTCCTGGGCTTATGAGATTCCCTTGCCTCAGCCTCCTGAGTAGCTGGGATTACAGGCACCTGCCACAATGCCTGGCTATTTTTTTTGTTGTTGTTGCAGTTTGGCCGGGGCCGGGTTTGAACCCACCACCCTTGGTTTATGGGGCCGGCGCCCTACTCACTGAGCCACAGGCGCTGCCCTGAAGTAGGTACGTTGTAAAGTAGTATATTAAGCAGCAGCTATTTGGATTCCACACTATCAAGAAATGGTAGAAAGTAAAAAAAAGGTTTAATACTCAAGGAATGTTCTGTTGCTAATATACCATATTTCATGCAGAGTCAATTAAAAGAACTTTAAGGAAACAGGACCCACATGGAATTCCAGAGTCTATATGTTTCCCTTTTTAATTTCTCTCCTTCCTTTTTGTCAAGTAAATACGTGACTCTTTGGTCAAGTGTTTGCTTGTGTTTCAAATCACCCTGATCCTTTATTATTTCCCACTGAATGCTTTTCTCCCATAAGACCAAAGGATCATAAGCCTAAACAGTGACAGAATAAAAAATTATATCAATCTTTATAAAAATTTGGTTAACTTCCCACAGCAATGTTTCATCATTATCATGTTATTCCACCTTTTTGCAGATCTCATGAACTTTTGCCTTCTTGTCAGTATCACATGTACTTGTATCTTACCAAGTCCAGATACACTCTCCATCTGCCTACCTTTCTCTGGGAAATGCTGTGAGTGTTGACCCAGAAAAAAGGAACAGAAAAACCCACTGTTTAGCTTTTTGTCCTTCCCACGCTCACTCAGAGCTTCAGCTCTTCATCTTATTTGTAGTCTTACAGATAACCCAGAGATCACAAATATTTAGGCCAGGGAGAAGCGAGAACAATTCCTTTTTTAGCTTTGCCCATGATTTAAAGTAAATCAGTGTTTCTCCAACAGAAAAATTATCTGCAAAACTTGCTAAAAATACAGATTCATGGGTCTGATCCCCAGAGTCTCTGATTCTCAGGCCTAAGAATTCATTTCTAAGGAGGCCCCATGGATGCTGCTGGTCTGATGTACGCTTCTGATACATCCTTTCCCAAAATGCAAGAATTTGCATTTCTAAGGAGGCCCCATGGATGCTGCTGGTCTACTCTGCACTGCATCATACACTCAGTATTTGTTTAACAGAAAAAAAGAGAGACAGAGTTCTCGCTACATTTCTACCACATTAGCTGTCCAACATACTTAGTAATAAACTGCCATTGTCTGAAGTTGCACCAGTTTGCTTGACAGGTTCGTGGTGGTTAAACTGCTTATCCCTCAACCTGCTCAGACATGTGGTGAAAGTCCACAAAGTTCAGGGGGAAAACGAATGACACCAATAGGGAAAAACAGATGCTTCTGATACATCCTTTCCAGAGAGCACATACTGAGCCACGCCCCCGACCCCAAAACAAAGCAGTTTTAAAAAAGAAAAATTGAGAAAAATGAGGGAGAAATCTTTCACTACAGAAGTTAACATGCAGCCTCATTTGACATTTCTTATTTATTACTAGTGAAGAATTTACCTTCCCTGTGCAGCTGTGCAGCTGTAATAAGACAGTCACGGCCTCACTGCATGTACACACACGACATGCTCTACTAGGTAAATGGTACTGGACTTGTACATCTGTTCACTGTAATCAATTTAAAATTTTATTTTTCAGCAACATGTGCTCTACTCCCCTCCCTGGACAGAAATATTCTATTTTGGTAAAAATAAAGGCTTATTTATGAAAGGTCAAATTTGGATGGTTCTGGGAAGTTTTCTGGAGCGACACAATGTTCTACACCTTGCCTTCTGAGGTCCAGGTACCTACTACTGTCAAAACCCACTGGAATCACATGTTCTGTACAGTTTGTTGTATGTAAAATATAGTGAGTTTTAAAAAATAAATAATTTTCTAAGAGTTCTATCAATTTCTTCCTGTTAATTATTTATTTATTATTTTTAATTTTTTTTTTTTTTGCAGTTTTTGGCCAGGGCTGGGTTTGAACCCGCCACCTCTGGCATATGGGGCCGGTGCCCTACTCCTTTGGGCCACAGGTGCTGCCCCTCTTCCTGTAATTATTGCAAGAAAAGGATACAGTCCTCTTCGTGGTAATAGGACTCTGCTATCTGTTAAAAACAAACAAAAAATAGAGAAAATTAAATTAACAATTGGATGAAATGACAGATGTGGAAGAAATTAAGAGCTTGAAACTCCAAATGCCTTTGATAACAGAGTAGGAAGATCTTAGTTACTACATTCTCCAGCTCAGAAGAACGTTGACTGCAGACACAGGACCCAATTCTGAAGTCAGAGATGTTCCTTGGTCTTTACCTAACCTCGTTCTTCCTATTTTTTTCTTTTTTTTTAGACAGGATCTCAGTCACCCAGGCTGTAATGCAGTAGCGATCACATTGAAACCTTGAAATCTTGGGCTCAAGTGATCCTCCTGCCTCAGCCTCCTGAGTAGCTGGGGCTATAGTCACATACCATTATGCTTAGCTAATTTTTAAGTATTTTGTAGAGATGGGGTCTTGCTATATTCTCACAGTTGGTATTCAACTCCTGGTTTCAAGTTATCCTCTCAAGTTGAACTCTACAAACTGCTAGGATTACAGGTGTGAGCCACTGTGCCCAACCTTCCATATTTTATTTCAAGTTAAATCAAATTTCCCTGATTCACTGGAGTTTAGAAGAACTCCAAAGAATAAAGCAAATGTTACAGAGAATTATAAAAACATAACACAAGTGAAAAAATGATTCTGTTTACTATAAATTAAAAGGTAGAAATATGTCATGTCACAAGAGACTCTGACACCCCATTTATTTCATTCCTATTTCACAAACTACCAGCTGGAGACCTCATGGCACATTGACTTTTTGGTCAGTTTTGATATGTAAGAAAATCTAGGCCAAATGTAAACAGTTGAGTAATGATATTTGGAATACATTCTAAGTTCTGGACATTGTAAAAGAACATTAGATAAAAAGTTTAGTGTCTCAGGAGCTGGTCCTAGGGGCTTGTCAGCTACTAGATTCATCCTAAGGTGCTTTAAATTTAAAAATTCTTTGATTCTAAAAATGTTGGGCTTTTAAAAGATCATTATCTAGATATAGCATTTATGAATAGATTAGTAAGACTAAAAGTATTCACTGATAAGTACTGGCATAAATTGTTGTCTTATTTAGAATATTTGTTAATTAATTAATTAATTAATTGTTATTATTATTCTGAGACAGAGTCTTATTTTGTCACCCTCGGTAGAGTGCCAAGGCATCATAGCTCACAGCAACCTCAAACTCCTGGGCTCAAGCAATTCTCTCGCCTCAGCCTCCCGAATAGCTGAGACTACAGGTGCCTGCCACAGTGCCCAGCTTTTTTTAGAGACGGAGTCTCACTCTCACTCAGGCTGGTCTCGAACCCATGAGTTCAGGCAATCCACCTGCTTCGGCCTTCCAGAGCGCTAGGATTACAGGCATGAGCCACTGCACCCAGCCTTTAATTAGCTTTTTATATATTTTTTAAATTTTTATTTATTTGTTTATTTAGAGACAGAGTCTCACCATGTTGCCCTTGGTAGAGTGCTATAGCTGTCACAGCTCACAACAACCTCCAACTCTTGGGCTTAAGCGAATCTCTTGCCTCAGCCTCCCAAGTAGCTGGGACTACAGGCACCTGCCACAATGCCCAGCTATTTTTTTTGCAGCTGTCATAGCTGTTTAGCTGGCCTGGGCCGGGTCCGAACCCGCCAGCCTCAGTGCATGTGGCTGGTGTGGTAACCACTGAGCTATGGGCGCCAAGGAAATGCTTTATATTTTTAAAACGTTTTTTACTGATTCTTACTACGTCTTCAGTAAAGAAAGGTATTCTCTTTATAGATCCCTTTCTCCATTTTTTCAAGTAACTACCAATGCAAAGAGCAATGAAGTACCTGTCAACTCTGTAAGCTGGCCAAGAAAAGGAAAAGTGTTGCCCAAATCTCCCAGGGCAAATGGCGTACTTTAAAAGCCAAACACTCGCCTAGTTTGAATACATCCTAGGGACTTTTCCATAGGCAATGCAGATGGATTGGATTTGGATGCAGGGAAAAGTAAGTGAAGGATGGCTTCAAAGTACTGGGCTTCAGCCACTGGGGGGATGAAGCTGGCGTTTAACAAGAGGGAGAAGACTTGGAAGACCAGGCTCGGCGCCTATAGCTCAACCGGCTAAGGCGCCAGCCACGTACATCTAAGGTGGCGGGTTTGAATCCCCAGCCCGGACCCGCCAAACAACAATGACGGCTGCAACCAAAAAATGGCCGGGCATTGTGGCGGGTGCCTGTGGTCCCAGCTACTTGGGAGGCAGAGGCAGGAGACTCGCTTGAGCCCAGGAGTTGGAGGTTGCTGTGAGCTGTAATACCATGGCACTCTATCCAGGGCGACAGCTTGAGGCTCTGTCTCAAAAAAAAAAAAAAAAATAAATTAATTAATTAAAAAAAAAAAAAAGACTTGGAAGACCATATATTTGGGAGAAAATCAAAGTTCAATTCTGAACCCTTAAGTTGTTAAATGCCCATTAGACATCTCAGCTAGTTGAATCGTTAAGTCTGGAGTTCAGATAAGAGACAGGAAAAAATCTACAAGACTAGATGAAATCACCTAGGATGTAAGTGCAGAACAGGAAGAGATTCAAGAACTCTAAGCACAGAACAGGAAGAGATTCAAGAACTAAACCCTGAAGCACTCCCAATGTTTAAAAATTAGTAAAATAGGAGAAATCAGCAAACGAGCCTAAGAAGGCAGGGCTAGGGATATAAAAGTCAAGAATTAGTGGTCCCAAAAGAAAATAAAGAAAATGCTTCAAACAGAGAATGCGATCAACTTGTGAAAGCTTCTAACAGCTCCAGCAGGATGAAAACTAAGGACCTGCCACTGGATTTAACAGCATGGAGGTCACTGGTGACTTTTAGAATGTAATTTAGGTAGAGCGGCAGGGACAAAAGTCAGATAGCAGTAAGTTCAGGGGAGACCTGGGTATGGAATATAACTTACGTAGAATTCTTGCCCAGAATGTTTTAAGTTAATTCAAATCATGAAGAAATAATCAGACAAATCCTCATTATGGGACATTCTACATGAATTCCTGGGCTCTTCGTGTGTCAGTGATATGAAAGTTAAAAATAAAAAAAGGAAGGCAGGTGATCATTCCTCATTATGGGAGACTAAGGAACCCTGACAATCAAACGCAGAGAGAGAAAAAAAGGAAAAATTTGAGAAGATGTCAACAACTGGCAAATCTAGGTGAAAGGTACCTTGGGATCTGCTGGGAATTACTGAAATGAATAGAATGTATTTCTATCCCTCCCGCCTTGTGTGTCTCTCGGGAGTCCACCCATTTTGTGCTGCTGAACCTTAAATTTAAGTCCACTCTAACATTTAATACAGAATTCAACAATTATTTATCTACACAACTGCTTCTGCTATTCAACAATAGCTCTGTCCAGGACATACCCTGTGAAGTAATCGGTTCCCCTGTGTTTAGCACTGCCTTTGGCACCCAGCTGGTGCTAAGCTCTTGCTATGTTGACTCTTATCTGTACATGACTGAATCACTGAATAAAAGGTATCAGCCATTGTCTAAACCAGTGGTTCTCAACCTTCCTAATGCTGCAGCCCTTTAATACAGTTCCTGTGAGTTGCAATCCACAGGTTGAGAATTGCTGGTCTAAACTATGGATTATCTACGGCTGAGGTGTGGCCACCAGTTAGCAATATGCCAAATTTCTTAATTTTCACACCAGCCATTAATTCCAGGTGACCACATGGTGGGCTCACCAATGATGGGTATGATAGAATTGATTAGAGAGAACCAGATTTTAGACTCCAAACACTGGTACCACAATCTCGGTTTACTGTAGTACCTGATGAAGGCACAGTGGGAGTGCTCGTGAATCCAGCTGCTCAACTTCCCCTCGGATGAGTGAAAACAACGATTGCAGAACTAGCGTCGGAGCGTCTGGTTGATCGTTCGCATTCACTTCAGCAGCAGCGTCATCACCGACACCACGTGTGGCTGCACTTGGCATTTTTTCTTGAATTAAAAGTGCAGTATCTCCTGAGGAGGGTCCTGTAAGAAGAAAGAAAATGCCTATGTTATAGCTTCCCATCATGGTCTAGGGCTTTAACACAGTCACACCTGCTAACCATAAGACTTTCCAAACAATAATAGTATTCCAAACAATAATGAAAAAAAAACCTTTCAAGAGCATTGATAAAAAGATATTGAAGGAAAGTGTGGAGGTTAAAATGTGGCCCCAAACTTGACTCTACCAAAGGAAAAGTATATTTGAAATCCTTGCTTGCCCAAAATAAAACAGAACTCAAGAGGAAGGTACATGCATTTATCATGTGTGACAGGTGAAGAAGTCGAGCCTTTTCCTTTAAACTCTATTCTGATAACGTTAGAACTACTTCTTGATCCCAGAAGAGTGTCAGGAATTCGGATGCCACAGCTAATGGCCAGTGAAATATTTTATTAAAGAAGTAACACATACTTCTCAAAAATCATTAATAAACAAATGCTTAACCCACAGCTTCTAAAATGCACCCAAATTTAATTGGTATAAGTGATGACTTCACTCTTCACTGAAATCTCAGTATCAGTTCTGATTTTCCTGTTCAAATTGAGTAGACTCCCTTCAGCTAGTCTACCTCAGATAGGATCTCTGTCCGGAATGTTTTTCTGTATGCACCAGGACCGAGTTTGCCCCACCTTGAGAGTGTGCCCCACGTCTGGCCTCTCACTGCCTTCTAACAAACCCACTGCTCTGGCCAGACTGGCTCATGCTTCATCTCCCTAGTAAAATACTCTGTGGTTTTCTGAACAATTACAGATTCTAATAGTTGGAATAATTTCTTGTCAACTAAGCTTATTTATTTGTCTTCTACCCTAACAAAATCTGTATCCTAACAAAAGATGAGCCTGAAGTCAAGTTACTTTCCTCCAAACCCTGTATAAGGCCTTCTATTATGCTAGGCTGCATTATAGTAATTGGTGAAAAGTCTCATCTTTATTATTAGATCACAACTCTTACAGGGCAGGGGTTAATTTACGTACTATGGCATCCCAACTGTACCGTCAGCACTAGAGTAATTACTTACATTTTAGAGAATTCTATTCTATCATTAATTTTTAGAGACGGAGTCTTATTCTGTCATCACCCAGGCTGGAATGCAGTGCTATGATCCTAACTCACTGTAACCTCAAACTCCTGGGCTCAAGCAATCTTTTGCCTCAGTTTCCTGAGTAGCTGGGATTACAGGAATGCACCACCATACCTGGGTAATTAAAAAGACCCATTTTTTTAGAGCTGGTGTCTCGCCACGTTGCCCAGGTTGGCCTCAACCTGCGAGGCTTCAGTGACCCTCCTGCCGTGGCCTGCCAGAGCACTGAGATGGGGTGACCCATTGTGCCCAGCTCTGCCATAAATTTTATATCACTTGGCCTACAGAAGCACAAGGCCCAGTGATGATCCGCTATTTTGTAGGAATAATATTTATAAAAACATACATGAGGGTGGCACCTGTGGCTCAAAGGAGTAGGGTGCTGGCCCCATATACCGGAAGTGGCAGGTTCAAACCTGCCCCCGGCCAAAAACTGCAAAAAAAAAAAAAATGTACATGATTCTCCGCTTTTTAATTTTCTAGCCATCCAGTGGCAGGACTAAAAGAGTGCCAATGAGGAAATAGGCACTTTCTTGAAGAACTACAAAGAAATTAAGAGAACCCATATTTTCCTTCCCTTTTCCCCAGACATACTATTATGCCCAAGGCATAACAGACTGTGATAAAGCCAGCTTCCTAAATTCTATTCTTTCCTTGTTTAAATATTTCCCATATAGTTATCCATCCTTCTCATTTTTTTAAAAAAAAAGAAAGCTAAAATTTTATAATGCTTACTTTCTGTAAAAGGGAGTTAAATAACCCTTGAAGACTATTACCCATAAGAAGTAAGGACACTCAAAAATAAGGAGAAAGGGCTCAGTGCCCATAGCACAGTGGTCATGGCACTGGCCATATGCACCAAGGGTGGTGGGTCCCAACCTAGCCCGGGCCTGCCAAACAACAAAGACAACAGCAACAACAACAACAACAACAACAACAAAAGCTGAGCATTGTGCTGGGTGCCTGTAGTCCCAGCTACTTGGGAGGCTGAGGCAAGAGAATCACTTAAGCCCAAGAGTTTGAGGTTGCTGTGAGCTCTGTTGCCACAGCACTCTACAGAGTGTGACGTAGTGAGACTATCCAAAAAAAGAAAAAAAAGTAAGGAAAAAGTACAGAATCGATGACTACCTTTTCTAAAGCAGGTCAAAAGGGAAACCTGCATTGTGATGATCTCAGTTATTTAATCAGTATAGATTCATAATGATGAAGTTTCCTGTAAGATCCACTTTATCTCTAAATTACTTTTATAATATTACTGAAATTAACAACTTATAAACCCCCCAAAATTGGTGAATAAAAAGTATGTGACCAAAGACATTTCAACAGACGGAAGACTACTGCGCATAAAACATAACCGGTAGAACTCCTAACATAGAACTCTAAGGGTTCCAAGAGCAAGAGACGGCTGAGCCGGGAAATGAGAATCGTTTAATCATCAAGTGTGGGGAGGAAGAAATACATGACGCAGGCTCAGACTGGTCATTCCAGATGGGCCAAGAGGTTAGAAAAACATGCAAGACTGATAACCACAGAAGGATTATTTGTCAGAGCTTGAAGATCATAAGCTTCAGAGATAACACAAGACCTCCGCACCTCTTGAGATGTGAGTAACATTCCTTGTTGGGATAAAGTAATATAAAATCAAAGGGCAGTGCACTGGGAGCAAGAGACTCTGGTTCTGCCATGATTTTTCCAACTGACCTCGGGTTAGACATTTAACTCTCTGACTTATAATTTCCTCATTTAAAATGATGGGACTGGGCAGATAAACTCTCAGATCCCTCCGAGTTCTAAGCTTCTAAAACATTCAAAATCTCCACAGAGATTTTACTGTTTAGGAAATGTACACCATCTCTGTGAAGAAGTTGAGGCCATAATTTAGGTAAATTGACGGTAAGGTAGACCACCAAGTACAAGCATCATCTAGTTCTTTTCCCACTGTTTTTTTTAAAACCACTGTTCCCCCCTTGCCTAGATTGTGTATTACATAAACAGCAGCATATGATATTTTTAGTCAAGAAAACAAATGGAAATGTCCTTGCAAGGAGAGCTCTACAACATTCCAAACCAAAGAGTTGGTTTCTGTTTCCAGCTCTGCCAAGTTTTTTTTTTTCTTAGACAGAGCCTCAAGCTATCCCCCTGGGTAGAGTGCCATGGCATCACGCTCACAGCAACCTCCAACTCCTGGGCTCAAGTGAGT